ACACCCACACGCACGCACGCCCCCCCCCCACACACACACACTCCGTATAACATAGGCACACAAATATTTTGTTTTACCTTCCAATAATGCTTAATCGTTAAAACAAAAAACAAAAATGTGCAAGGCATCAACATTCCACACAATAGCGTGAGAGTGACTGGTGTGAGTACGTACTTTTATATTACTGACTAATGATTCTTAATTTTCATTTCTCTCCTTTACTCTTCGGCCAGATCGATACCATACTTTACCTTGTAAATAACTGCCATTCATTTGTAATTTCGTCATAAGCTACTATACCTTACCTTCTAATAATTATCATAATTCTCTAAATCTTTGCTTCATAACTTAGACCAAAAGTTCTTTATTTTCAGGCCCTCACACTTCGAGGGCAGGTTTTTTATTTTGTTTCTTTGATTTTTTTTTTCGTTATTCGCGTCATACTACACAATTTGTTAATGTTCATTCTTTTCTTGGTATACTGTCGACCCGGTCTGACTTTCATGTGTGGTCCATGCATGGAAAAATGCGAGGACTGTTAAATTAGTAAGGCAATTCGTTGATCCAAATGCGAAATATAATGAAAGGCGAAAAACGTGCATTAATCGTATAGTATAAATGGCAATTATCAAAAAAAATATCTGCAATTCCACTATATTTGCTTCGAAATAATATAAGTAAACCTGGCCTAGTTATTTTGGAATATGATTTGCCTGCCACAGTCACGCTGTGAGTCTCGATTTCAAACTAATGCATGTTCTTGGTCTTAAGAGAGGATTAAGAAATAATAGGTTATTCAGTGGCACGTATAATTATCGAACGTGTTAACAAGAATAACTGAAAAAAATCAGATTATCTAACATAGCATTACTTATATTAATGGGAACTGTTAAGCACGAAGCACACATAATAATGTAATTGCACAGTTGTTAAATAATTTGAATGAAATATCAATTTTCAGTATATAAATGTGTGCAACTACTTCCATAATGGTCAATGTAATTTTGTCACCCGTTTTGTTATAAGTTCTACTACCAAAAGTTTACAAGGAATATGTTAAAACACAAGCCACATATATTTACACTAAATATGTCTCGGTTATGAAATGTTGCCTGAAAACAGACTATATACAATGATTATCTAACCTCATAATACTATGAAAGTTGCATTGTTTATAAACTCATTAGACGTGAAGCTGAGGTATATGTTTCGTGCTTGCAATGTCAACTTACTGATAACATATCAAGTATTGTTGGATGTTTAAACTGGCAGAGCTATGTATCACACCTGGATTTATCTATCTTCCACGTTTTGGTTCAGGAGTGTTGCGGTGTGATGTACAGGTTGTAAGATGTGTTCGGTGTTTTCTGTTAAAATGCTTAATTATATACTTGATACATTCCGAGGCATGACTTAACATATCCCAGAACTCGATGGGGGTCAAGCATATCAACATTGGAAGCTCACTTCCTTCATAAATATAAGACAGTTGAGAACACACATTATCAGTAAATTGCACTTCTTTCAAATAATACTGCTGAAGCCACCCAAACACATTTACGTTATTCATTCTTTTACCTTCGCTCAAAATGCTTCATTGCCCACAAGAGAGAAGTATGTGATGAAACTACCATCGATGACGAATTTGTCAGTAATGTCTAACCCAAAAGAAACTTTGAAAAAGTGGGAGGGTATGCAGTGCTTTTCTTTATTTCATTTAGATTGTGTAACATTTTGAGTCTTATTTGATATATAGGGTATCTTGTTTAGATTATCTTAGTATCATTCGTGGAGTTAAACAGATGCTGCTACTTATTTATGTAGGATGTAAGACACATCAGTTTAAAGGGGGTCTCCAATCTGAAAGAAGTGAGGTATATAAACAAACTCAAATGATGTGAATTGTCACTGTATTTCAAGGGCTACTGGCTGAGTATGTACACAGGTAGTTACAGGAATGAACATATGCAGCAGCATTATTAAATAATTCTTAATAAATCCTCCAATCAAACAAATAAAAGGATGTCTTTTTACCACTCTCAAGTTACACTGGTGGGTTAGGAAATGTAAAAATACAAATCAGAGTGTATATCAACTGAATCCCAGAGTTCACATCACAAAACTCCTATTCATTTGATTTGGTCTGTGCAATAAAAAGTAGGCCTATCAATATTTAATGACCGTCATCACCTGTGATTAAAATGTTGAGGATGGCAAATATTTCATTGATTTGCACCAAATTTCAAGGAATTCGTAGAGAATTAAGCCCAAGGTTGTGTAGAGAAAAACTGTCACTATATGGTCCATACATTATCATCTCATAATTTTATTAAATATTAGCAACTATAAATTTACATGATTATATTCCCAGAAAGAAAGTATGAAAAAAAAGATGGAAAAAAAAAAAATCAAATACCTAACTGCCACCACTAGTATTTCTAACCAAGATGAATAATGATTACAGGATTTTCAAAATAAAATGATAATGACAATGCAAGGGAATATATCTACACAATGGATGATAATTAAAAAATATAAGCATTATATGGGTATGAAGCAAAGCCTCAGTCCCATAACAGGTGGGAACTATGGGGGATGGATTGACGGGGAGGGGGGGGGGGCTTAATTGGGGTCTCGAGAGGGGGGTTGGGATGGGGATGTGGGGGGTACATGGAATAGGGGCGGCTGTCGGATGAAATGTGTTGGGGAACGGAAAGAAACAGACTGGGGAATAAGCCAGGTCAACTTTTTTTCCATTTTCATTTTCGAGGACAGGGGCATATGGATAATGTGGGGGAGGGGTGTGGGAGGGGGCGAAAGGGAGGGGTTTGAAGTTTTGACAAAGATGAGAAAGAAGAAGAATCATAGTGGTATTGATGGCTCACCAATCAGAAGACTATATATCATGTACAACAGGGCAGATAAACAGGTAAATATACAACAAGGCTAGGTGGGGGCATATGGCAGAAAAAACCATGTTGACAGTTGGCAGACACTGGCAGACTGCAACGCACTACTCCAGGCACAACAGAAGTGAGGCCCCAGTCTTTGGTTTCTACACAAGGGCATGGGGCGACTGGGAGTAAAGCTCTGCTCATGCTACACTCACAACAGACAGTTTTATTTTAACCAGGATTAGGGTTAAGTTCAGAGTCAGCATATGTGACCAAATTCTTTACAATACTGTACATATTAATATTCAAATCACCTCATTCATCCTATAGGTAATACATAACAAAACTGGGCAGCTGGAATTCCTCATTCCTATAGCCAAAATATTTACAAAAGAAAACAAGGTAAAACTGTTCCTTTGGAACCTCTTTCTGGTTAGCTGGTGAGTGCAACACGTAAGGATGATACGGTTACACATGATGCGTGGTTTACATACATGGAGATAATATGATATGGTGGATATTTGCCTCACATTTCACTATATCCACTGGAGTCCAAGGTGAGACTTTGTTTACACTTCCACCAAACGTGATCTACACAACCGCACTACTCTGGCCAGCACTGGTGGAAGGGGGTAAGTACTAAGACACTTTGTTCAAGTCCATTCAAAATCTTCCACTTAGTATTGTTAATGTTCTAAATATCACACTAATGACCTCGAGTCATTGAAGGTGAAGAAGCAATGGCTCTATTGACAGCATGTCTTTCACTGGTCAGGAGTGTCAGGATAGTTTAAAAGTTCATGAATATCAACAGTAGTCCTGTGGCCATCATAAATTCCTGAAAGGCAACTGGATTTCGAGCAGCGAGAGGGGTCCACGGTACGCTTTAGAGAGTGAGGGTGGGAAGCCAACAAGCCAAAGGTGCTTCAGGGGAGGCCCATGGAGCTCTAATGTGAAAGCTCCCAGGGGTGAGCTTGTTAATTAATATATTTCAGGTGAGCTTGAGAGGGAAGGGGGCCTGATTACAGTCCAGGTCAGAACACGAAAATGCATATTGAGAACACCTCCGAAAACTTGTTAGGTGCCAGCTTGTCTCTCTTAACAGTTTTATAAACTTATTTGGTTCTACAACAACTTTTTTTTTAAACACATGCAACTTTGATGGATATCAGGCAACTTTTGATTTCTTCGGAATATTTTTGATCCCATCTTTCTAACAAAATCGTGTGACCTCGACACATCACTGGTCAGACACCCCAGCCTACTTTGACCTGAACTAGTAACATAACCTCAGGCTGTGTTATGTCCTAGTGGTACTTCTACAAGAGAGTCACCTAGTTCTAACTCCCCTTGTAGTCACAGTTTTAGCTCATTAGCAATCTTGCTGGCAATATTTTTAAACCCAATGGAAGTTCCTGATATCCTCTTGAATCGCACACCATTCAGGCTAAGTCTGGGTAGCTTACACACCTGTAAGTAAAAAAAAAAAAAAATTGTTGCCAGGGATTTGTGATACAAATAGATCAATTTTTTTCTTTGCCCTTTCATCTCATCTCTTTGAAAAATATTCACGACTGGACCACACTTAATATGTTTTACAGTATAAAGCAAGCATTTCATCACAAATGATTCATTTTCCCACGACACGTACCTCAATTTCCCACTGTACTAAAGAATCTGTGTTGGGGTCTCCATGGACACAGAGAAGCAAGAACTTTTCTCGCTGCTCATAATCACAGTTGTTTGCATCTAATACCTGGAACGTAGCAGAGAATACAAGAACAAGAGATTAGTTCTGAAGAAATGATTCTAACTGTGGTTAAAACTAACGAAAAGAAAAAGAAAAGAAAAAGAAAAAGAAAAAAAAAAAAAACTTTCCCATGCTATTATTAGAATATCATTCAAACAAAACAAATAAAAACCAAAACCAAAAGAAAAACAAAATAAAATAAAAAATAGATGCAAGGAACAGCTTTTTTTAGTCATTCTAAAATGCACATTCTTGAACTCACATTACAAATACAAGACACTGTCCTGATACAGAAGCTATCTCACTACTTCCAGATACTATAACAAAATTATAAAACACTGACACTGGGATTGTTT